TGTATCAGAAGGATCTAAACCCTCCCCTAATATCTTTGAAGCCACCAGAAGGGGTATTTTTATGGATTAATGTAATAACCAACAGCCTGGAAGTTGTCAAGGGTCTGCTGTATTCAGAAAGTTAGTATTTGAACCAAAACTGCTAGGGGATGAGTTTTCAAACTAGAGGAAAGAAATGTAACAGTCATGCGTTATCATGCACTGAAAAAACATCCAAGGATGGGAGATGTGGAGAGAGAGCCACCAACTGCACCCCAACGTTACTCATGGAAAATCTTTCACCATTTTAAAGTTACAGACTTGAAGAATGAAAAACTTTAGTTTTCTCTATTCATTTGACTAAAATCACTTCCTTTAACCCTCTGGAGCAGTAGTGTGTAAGAAATGGAGCTAAGCAATGAGAACTCCAACACTGCAAACTACGTGGTGCCCAAGCTGTGAGATGGCATAAGGAAGACTGAGATAACTTGTCTTCGTGAATCCCACATGAGGACCTGGAACATAAGGCAAGATCTCTGTCAGACAGTTTCACTAGAGAAACATATCTGAGAGGGATCCTGGATATGAACTACTGCTTTCTTGTTTACATCTAAAATGGGAAGGTTGACTTTGGAAGTTCTTGGAATGGAATCAACCTATGAGATCCACTCACTTGGTCTCCTCCAACATCAAGCTTCAATATGAGACCATGACTGATGGTGCTCAGGGAAGAAAGCCTCCACCCAGGTGAACCTCATATTGAATGCATCCATCCCAAAGTCAGTCCCCCATACATGGAAATTTCTTGATGAAAACACCACTTTGCTGCCAAGAGAAGATTAGAGCCAATGCCTACATGTGTAAGGTTCTCATGGTCCTCTGATCTGGTGTATCTGGTCGTTCTGCTGTCAACAAAGAATGACCTTGAGAATGGAAAAATGGTCTAAGGAAAAGCCAAACAACCCCACAATGAAAGCTGCGTACTGGTAGGATAAATACAAGACCAGAAGATGACTCTCCTATCAGTTCATATCCTCTCGTGAACTGTGCCAAGGAAACAAATACATTTGATTCAGTTGAGCAGAATCAAGGCCTCATACATCATGGTCTCCATGGCAAGTGATTCAAACAGAGAGGCTATTCTGGGGAGTTAATTTTAGGTGTGGATGGGCAAGTATCTGGGTCAAATATGAACGAGTCATCACTGTAAAACATGTTAATCAAGTCTTAAAGCAAGGCAGATCCCTTCCTGTAACCCCACAGAAGAGAAGGTAGGGGAGCTTTTGGAAACCAAATAAAAAATCTCTGATATTTAGGAGACACACACACATTTTTGGAGTGTGATGTTGAATCTCGAGAAAACAAGGATGGTTTCCCAGCTGGCAATCTAGTCACGTTATCTACACCTTCATCTGTCTCTGCAATTATGTATGGGTCTTGCCACTACTGAGGCTGTTTCCAGACAGTGCAGAAATTAGTTTTAGTCTAAGAACTGAGAAGTCCTGGCTCACCAGAGGTGAGAAACGATAAGAAGGTGAGAAAAAAAAGAAGATTAAAGACTATAATGCGGGGCGGGGGGGTGTGGGGAAGAAGGGAATTGACAAAATCTGTATTTTAATATCAAGGGCAGTTAGAAAATTCTTGTCTGGTTTTGGTTTAAAATGCAATTATCCACATGGGAGTTTTCATACAAAGAACATGGATTTTATAGTATCTCACAATTTTAAGTGGGGAAATATTATCAGATCCTTTGCTGGTCCAGATTTTTATTCATTTCTCCAGATGTACTGCTGATTTAAACTCAATCCATTTGTACAGATGACAAGTCTTTCAAAAATCGACGTTCTTAAGGCACAAGCATTAAAAATGATACACAGCAAATTTTGGGGAGACTACTGAATGCCTCACACTAGGCAGCATGGCAAAAAGCCAAAAAACCAACTCTAGCTAAATTAAAAATAAGCTCCCAAATGAAAAAGAAAATGTTTGCTCTCTGCCTTGTATGACTGGCTGGAATGAGATGGAAATTATTTAAATTGAAAAAATAGTCCAGAGCTGTCCATTATTTCTTATTAATTTACAGCAAGGGTAAAAATCTTCTGTAAATCCTCCTTACTGCTGCTTAAGTCACATAACCAAGAAAATTTCAGAATAGCATAGGCCTAGAAAATGAAAATAATTTATTAAGTTCCACTAACTGTACTGTGCTAAAGTTTGTGTAATATTACTTTGGAAGACAGGAAAGCATTTAAAGTGATTCTTTTCCTTTCCCCGATCTTTTCTCAATGGTCAGCAGTCAAGAGCGGTAACATGCTCTTGCTTTCAAAAAACTGTTGTTGAAGACTTTGGATAACATATTTTGCCTGTTACTCCTTGTATGAGATTTCCTGTATGTGCCTAACATGTCATGTTATTTGGGATAGTTATGTACACTGTTAGGTTTCTAGGACTGATTCTACATTCTTCTTGTACAAGTATCATAAACTTATAATGGAGTAACATGGAATTTTGGCATTAGCAGACTCGCACTTTTTTCTTGTTAGTATTGTAAGAATGTAGAACTATGGCTTTTACTTAAAGTTCAGTCTAATTATACATTTTAGGGACTGAATTGAACATGTATATAGCTCACAAAAATGGTAGCTTCTTCAGTGATCTATATTCATTCTTTTCCTTGCTTCTGTAGTAGGACTGTTAACATGAATGGTAAACTGCCGTCAGAAAAGTTTAAATAAAATATCTGGACATGCAGAAGAATCCTTCCTCCCTACCTACAGCAGACTTTGTGAGGGCACCTACTGACTACAAATCAGAGCTGATGTGGAAGAATGATCAAAAGGCTTAAGAGGAATAGAAAAGACGATGTGCAAATGTATACTCCCAACTTCTCTACATGACCTTTAGGTTAGTTTTAAGGGTGGAAACAGCTGAAAGCATGACTTCACTAAATCTAAAGACAGATACCCACTCAATATTTCTCTCCCTGCAGTTTTTAAAGTGTCGCTACAGAATCACAACAAGCACATTGAGTAAAGCCAACTTTCCTCCTGGTTCTGTCATCCTAGGAGGTCATGCAGATACATAAAGAAACTATTGTGAAAGCAGTGGCAATAGGAGAAAGAAGAAGTCATGCAAAAGAAGCGTTGCCACAGTACTGTTCAAAATGCCTGGAGTTAATATTTTAAATACAACAGTGTGACAGTCTTCAATACGAAAAGGTAGGGTCAAAGGAAGCATCAATCTACCTTTGTGCTTTCCGCACCTGTAAGAAACTTACAGAAAGTTTGGGGTACTTTCATTTTGGACAACTGTGATAGTAATGTTCATCCCCAAAACTGCCAACGAAGGCACTGACAGGAAAAGTGGGCAGACTGACAGACCTAAATGCATGCTGTATAGTATCACTCAAAATGCTTTTCCTGAACTTTCTCATTAAAAAAGGAATCGTATTACAGCTCTACAACATCTCTATGCATCTAGAAGACGACCCAAGATTCCCTCTCTCTTTCTTGGCTTGTTTAGAGGGAACAAGATCTGCTCATCTCATCAACTACATTGACAGTAGGTAATGTCAACAAATTAAACTGCTCAGTTAGTTGCACTGTTTGGGAAGCTCACAAGACTGCAGGACATTAAAAAAAACACAGAGCATTTTATTTGTATCTTGCGGTTGCAGAGAAATTTCAAACTTTGGTTAATAATTAACCAAACCACTTTTAGTGAGGGTCAAGGAAGGAAGACTGACCTCTCTGTAATTGTTTATGTGAGCTCTTTACTTCTTTATAATAAAATTAAGTACATTTTCTGCTTTGAGAACCTATTGCCATGTTCTTAGCTACATTTCTTAGCAAACTTCTGTTAAAGGCACTTCTCTGTTTTGGACTAGAAATTCTATTCTACACTTTACAAGATACTAATCTAGCATTTGTGAGTGGCAGAAGAGGGACGTAAATTATGTAAAGATAAATCATTGCAAATATGTATCAAATATCATTAATAAACCAAACATTTACTGCCATTTCTAAAAGCATTGATCAGTTTTGACACTAGGAAAATTATAACTTCACATACTCATTTACTCTTTTTTTTTTCCTGTTCCTCACTTCTGAGGTCAAGTCCCACTATTTACTTGATATTTATGAACCTCATATGCTTCTATATAATTTTTATGTAGACGAATTTCCTCCAAATTCAGAATAATTTTCCTTTCCTAAAATCTCTCCAAAAATGGACAATTTTTTCCTGATTTTTAGGAGCTCAGATCTAGTTTGGTGGGTTTTGCTTTTTTTTTCCCTATAATGATTTCTTTGACATTCATTCTTTCCTAAATGTAGATATTCTGAGGTAAGCAAGGATATATGCCACACAGAACAGCAGATCAGAAGAAAATGACCCCAATTTATGACACTGGAGACAGACTACTTTCACATTTTTATCAGCTGAGAAAATTAAATAAAGAATTTGTTTGGCTGCTCTGAACAATGGATTTGCAATTTGCATAGAAAAAACGATGGCAAAACCTCATAACCCATCAGCGTTTTACCACAAGCTCAGTTCTATTACATTTTAGTGGAGGTTCAAAGTTGTCTAAAGAAACCATTCTCTTCTTTCTCCAACCGTAAATGTGTCACTTGAGAGTTCAACTTCCAATAGGAGCAGTATCGGACACACAACTAATTTTAGAATATAAAGTGCTCCTCACCATATTGGAATACATATAATTTAAAATAACTGTAAACCTAAACTTTGCAAAAACAGAAAATTCAAGCACTAACAAAAAAGCATAATTTGTAATTGAAAGAAAATAATATTTAAAAGAAAAAAAAACTTTTTTGTCTTTCCAAAAAGAGACAGAAATTACTAAGTTTTATTTCCCAAGAGAATTATGCCACTTTTATAAAGAAAATTACAGTCACCACAAATTGCTCTCAACAATTCCAAAGCTTCTTCATTTGACCACTTGAAAATCAAAGTTCTTTAAGATTATAAATATAACTTTTTATAACTCTGTTATTACGTACTGTGAATGGGGAAAGGGGGCCAATCTTGTGGCCATAGCGTCGAATGGCCTCTCTGATGTGGCTGGGCTGGATGGCATCGCTTTGAGCCTCTATACCACAGGCTGCAGTGCTCTGCAACAGAAAAACACATAAATTGTTACTAAATCAAAAACACACAACAGACCTACAGTGCATAAAGTATGAAAATAAACCTTTATAAAATGGACCAATTTTTTTTTTCCTGAGGATACAGATCATTGCTGCCACACACTACATTAGAGAAAAAAAGCTATTAACAAATCAAAGAGGACTTTTACATGAACTTTGCTTAAGAGACCCAAAGAACACCATATTTGTCCTCTTAAATCTTTCACCTAGTGCTGCTGTATGTTGCAATTGAAAAGAGCAGAAAATGTTCAAACTAAAATGAAAGGGTCATATAAGTCATGCTGCAATAACCACAGAAACTATTTTTAAAACATTTCAGGCTCTCATTATGATGTCAAGGGGTGGGGAAAATATTGAACAAGTACCCAAAGTGGAAAGCAATTTGACACCAAAATCACCTTGAGTAATATCAGATTGAAATTGGAAGATGAAACACGTGACATAATGGTGTTAGAGGGACGCAGAAATATTTTAATTAGCTCAAACTGGAATGTTTTCAAATTTCCAATGACTTTTTGGATTAAGGACCCTAAATAGGAAAAACAAGAATTCAGTGCTACTGGTCCACTGATTTTACAAAAATATCCCCAGGATTTTAAAAGAAAAAGTTACTCTTTTCTCTTTGTTAGTCAAACTGAAATGTGTCCATCTAGACACAGCTGCTTGCCAGAATTCAGATGACTTATCAGAATTACGGCTGCTTGCTAATAAATCAATGAAAACCATATTAGTAAAAGTACTAACAATGACAAAAACTTAAATTGTACGCTGAAATTTAAAGTATACACATACACAGCCCCCTCACACATTTACACTATATATTAATGCTTTTGAACTTCAGCTATTTTTTACAAAATGTTTTATTTTCAAGAGTGCTGCGTCCACTGGAGCCTGTGTGTGTACACACAGAATTATTCATAATACGATGGCAGATTCTTCCCTTGCTGATTGACATTCATAAAGGGAATGCGAAACTCAAATATTTTCAGCTGGACTGGGCCTTCATGGACTGAGAATAACATTCTTCACCAAGTTAACTCGTTTGTCTCAATGCCTCCGTTATAACCAGTTATATAACCAAATTGGATAAGTCATGGGAACGTTTCATTAAAATGGTGCACTTTTTAGAATATAATTATTTCAAAAGGCATTAAGTCAAACACTAGGAATTTAAAATAAACTCACAAAACTAGTGAAATATAATGTATCAAGAACTACATCTCCAGCTAAATTCTTGTTCCTAGGAACTATTACGGAAATCAGACACAGAAAAAAAAACATAATCAAATGTAATATAAAAGAAGAGGAAAAAGCAAAAACCTTCAGAGAGCTTTTTAGGATTCACTAAAGACTTTCTAAAGGAATATAATACGGGCAGAGAGAAAGTTGAATGTATTAGAATATCTACAGTACTGATGACACTAGAAGGAGAAAATACATCTTTTTCTATCTGTCATTGTAAAAATCACTGGTTAAACTCTGTGAAAAATGAGTATTTGTTGTAGGAGAATAACACACGAGAAAATCACAAGTCACCCCATTTGCCTTGCAGCAAAATAAGTACTGCTATCGCATTTTTTCAAAAAAGCCCTAAATGACTAACACAGTGCTTCCTATCCACTGTATTTCATCAAATCTACTTCCCTTGTGGTTTTAAGGTACATATATCTCTCTCAGATAGAATACGAAGGATCTACAACAGGAATTGTAATATTTACATTTCACACGAGACCGCCATAATTTACGCAAAGTAAACAAATATTTAGATTGAATGCAACCAACTGACATAAAAATAAAGCAGGTCAGGCAACGTTGATAGAGGCAAAGAAGACAGTCACCTATGGCTGCTGGGAGCAGGAAAATCACAACCACCTCTTTGCCTACTTTGCCTACTCTTTGACCCTCAAAACCTGTGCTAGCTGGTACTGTCAGAGAAGGGGATGATTATTTGGTGTGGTGTCCACTGCTTTGGCTGTAGAGGAGCAGCTCATCCTAGAAGCAGCAGTTGTCACCTCAACAAAATTCAGTTTGCAGGCATTACTGAGAAGATTTAGCCTAGTTCTGATAGAAAGAACACCAAACCACACATTTGGCCCTACCAAAACACTGGTATTTAACATGTGATATAGATTAAAATTAATATTTAAAAAGAGACACGTTGTTTCCTGAAGATGTTTTGGTTTCTTCTTTTTTTTCAGGCTTGTGCACCAAATACCTTTTTTCTTTTCCTTTGTTTGGATTTGGTAGAGTCCTGTCCAATTCCACCATTCCCCAGGACTCCTGATGGGGTTTTCCCAAGATGTTGCTGTCCTGCTGATGCTGGGGGTGTGGGTGTAGGAGGTGGTGTGTTTTCAGGAGAGTCAAGACTGGTCTTCACACTTGTAGATTGCCCTAAGAGATGTGGCTATAAAAGCAAGATGTCAAACAGCTTTTATATAATCAAATCACCAAAAAAAAAAAAAAAAAAAAAAAAAAAAAAATTGCCTTCTTAGATTTACTGTTAGAAGAGATGTAATACAGAATTAAATTTGCTCATTTTAGAGGTTACTATAATATCTGTATCACAGCAATGCATGCAATACAGCACTTATTGCACTTGCCATTGTTGACAACTTTAATCTCCCAGTCTGCAACAGAGAGCACCTTCAGAGAGAAGGAATTTCCACCCAAGAAAAGAGGATTTACATTTAAATATAAAGATGCTGCTAACAATTTAACATTTGGAGCTATAATTTAATGTCTTTCTGTCTAAATTGATAACTTCAATGCTCATAAACTGTATAACAGAAGTCTATATCAATACCGGATTCAACAACATCTACTTTGAAAGCAACAAACTACCAAATACATGTAAAAGTAAAACATAAAATGCATCAATATGTGAAAAAGCAAGACTCACCTCAGTAGAGTTGTGATACTGTATGAAGGTAGCAGATATGGCATGACTGAACGGGTCACCAGCTTTGGGAGCCATGTCCTGCTTAACCAAAAGGGCCAAGTCCACCAACTGGAGGGGCAAAACCAGCCGATAAACAGGTAGGTTTACTGACATGGTACTTACTACAAATGCCATTGTAACAATGAAGAGAGATAGGAGTTGTGGGTTGAGGCAGATTACTCTTAGTGTTTCTCAGTTGAAAACAAAATTATTCAGAGATATTTGAGCCTAAGGAACCTTTCTTTTCCACTTCTGTAAATATGTGGAGTAATCTATCTACCCAAGAGGGCTCGGCTTGGCACTAAGGTAACATTTTGTTTTCCAGGAAATCCTGCTTTTTAATCCAATTGTGCAATGGGGTTGAATGAGCCTCAGCGCACTGCCAAAGGTCACATAGCGAAGTATGTGGTTTCAGTTTGGACTTGAATAAAGTTCATGCTGGACTCCACTCTCCTCTGTAACCATTATAAAACATTTCTATTTGTGCATCAGATGGAGGGATACGGTATAGCACACATCTGCCATACAGTAAATTGAATGACAGACAGGAATCCAGTTAGCTTGGTTAGCTGAAGTAGTGACTGCATGCTTCTGAAGGGGCTTACAACACAGTCACCTGAGGCTGGAGTACATCCAAGTACTAATTCATTTTGTTTAGCTAGAGTTCAAACATTAGAGTATGCTCCCTTACCTGTGCCACAGTCTCATATGCTAAATATGCCAAAATCTCCATTGCAACTGCATTTGGCTTTATTTCCATACTGCTACAATCCAACCAGTCACGAAACTTGGATGCTTTCTTTGCTGTCAGTTAAAATCGTAAGGGGAAAAGGAGAAGTTAACAACAGGTAGGTCAAAATAATGCATTTTTTCTGGTCATAAAAAATACTGCAAATGTGAAACAAGGAGTGTGAATGTGATTTGATTGGCCAAGAAAGGAATTATCAAAATGGAATTGAGACTGTTATTTCATATACAACATTTTGGAGACCCACCAGCATCACAGAGTAAAAAGAAAAACACACAATCAATCACATGGGAGATTTCAGAACAAGAAAGGGTCCACCTCAGAGGACCATAGATGGGACAAACCTGATTTTGAATATATTACTGTAAAAGAAATAATATGATTGCATCACATATTTGATGAATGAGAGAAAGCACTAGAAGAAATTGACACAAATCTGGGCCCAAGTAAAATGATATAATTGTGTTAGCAACAGTGAAGACAAATGAAGAAGGAGAGAAGAACTAGGAAGTCCTTGTGTTAACCATGAAGGGATTAGGTGCTGACAAGCTGGCCAAAATGATTTGTAGATCAGTGCTTTTAAAATGTGCTTTGGATATAAAGAAATAAGGATAGACGTAGATCTGCAAATGATCAACATTCATATGAGAACTTCACGCTGCTAATGGATGAGATCACTTAGGAGAAAGTACAAAGAAAAATATGGGACAAAGAAACACGATATTTGCTGAGAGAGAAAAAGGAGGAACGAGAGATATCAAAGTGGAACTGAAAAAGTATTGTGGAAATTCAGGGAGAACCAAAAAATGGACAATCTTAGGTCAGTGGTGGTCAAGCTGATCACAGAAAGCTGTGCAATTGAATTTGTGCATGAGTCTCTCTTGTTACCATTTTCTAAGCACTGTAATTCTCTTCTTCTTTAATGACATTAAATTCAGTGAAAAGAACTGTATAGACATGGTCATTTAAAAACACTGCGAAAATACTGTTGAGACTTGTTCATAGATCACAATCCCCTGGTCAGCAACATTCAATTTTATTTTGCAAATTTAGGATTTCTATTTGTTCTGTCTCCAGATGATAATTTTTGGGTTTTAAAAATGACTTTATCACAAACCTCTCATTTGCTGAAGTCACCCTAATCTGAAGTATCATTTATCTAATGGCTCACAGATGTGTGATGCCAAATTAGAACTAAGCTTACAAAACATATTGAATTAGGAAAAGAAATGCTTACAAAACATGTTTTCCTACGTTTGCTGACATTTGCTGATACAGAACAGTATTTCAAATGTGTCGTTTATTTGCCATAAATGAGTCACTCTTTCTTTGAATTTAAAAGGAAGAACGAGATAAGGTCTCTCATTTAAAGACACCATTGTGTTCAAGCCTGTGTTGTTGGATCATGTGCTGTTTTGTCATGATTTTTACTGGCTCCTTCACCTCACTTTCTCTGACATTTGACCTAAAACCTTAGTCATCACTTAACTGCTTCTGTAATGATGTTTTGCTACATGATCAAGCCCATTAATTTACAGCTCATTATAGTTGTGGTCCACAAGTACTTCTAGTAAGTTGGTTTTCAGTGCTAGTAAAGCCCTAATTCTGTCATCATGTTATTAGTGTTGGAATGGCGTATACTGACGAATTTGGCTAATGTTGAATAAATTCCACAGCAGGAGCTTACAGCTTAAAATAGAAAAGACTCTTTAGTAAGTTCTTTGTGTCTCTGCGGATAGGGAAATAAAAGCAAAACTTGCTGCTCTTCTCTAATTTTAGATGCATTCCGAAAAACCTTCAACCATGAAACTTTTCTAATATGCTGACTATAACACCACCATGACAGACTTCAGGCAAGTTATGGGTGTTTTAATCCATTAACTCTTTACCAGTTCTATCTCTGCAGTCGTCCCCACCAGCACAGTATTTGAGCATATAGAAAGCTTGGTAAATATTCAAATAAAATACTCTGCCTGACAGCTGAAACTATGCTAAATTAACTGTTCCCAGGAGTTATGTGGACAAAGAATTTAAAGTTTTATTATTGTGGATGAAACAAAAATGCTTTCAAAAACCATGAGCTTCTGCTGTGTTCTCTATTACATGAAAGAATTGAACATCTTAATACAGTGCAGCTATTATAATACTTACAAAAACTCAGTTGCCGACTTTCACAAAATTCTGCATACTGGACTGAGTCCATCATTCGTGTTTGTCTTTCTGCTCTCTGAGAAAAGAGTAGAAGTACATGATGTACCTTATTCCAACAAGAACTGCATTTCACAACAGAAATTATAGCAGCAAAGCACTCCTGCCATAACCTTGAAGTAACCCCCCCAAATAAAACACGCATTGAACCAGTTAAGATGCAGAAATATAAACCACAGATTGACTATTAGTCTCATGAGTTAAATTACCCAGAGGTGCGTGTCAATTCTTGTTTTAAAAATTTGCTTGCACAGCGCTCACCTATGACAGTGAAGAGGGCTGAGTTAGGAAATGTGCTGAGCACTCTTTGCCCTGGCCGAGGCGCACATTTAAATTGAAGCACACGTAGACTGCCTACGTGTTTACAGATAACCAGAGAAGTAAAATGTTCTCCTGGACAGAGGCCAAATTGTTCTGCACTGGACAGAACTGAACCTGTGTGCTTTTCAAATGGGAGCATTAGCAGCAGTGAGATGAATAAATTCCATCACACTGAGGATGTACCAGACAGAGAGGAGCATTGAAGTGCCCTTCCCACACAGACATTCAATACACTGTAATAATTAAGTAGTAAATGCGCCTGTTTCTTTTTTTTTTTTTCTTACTGTTAATCTATGCTTGATTTTTTTATATTTCTGAACACCTACAGGAGAAGAAAGGAAATTACACCAAATTAGAGTTCATTCAAGAAAAATGGCTTAAAACGTTCACTACTGGATTTAAGAACATATTTCACACACAGTCCAGTGTAAACCTGAAGATTATATCTCAAAAAAGTCAAGGTACGAAACCTTAAGCATTACTTACACCCTCCCCTCCACATATATACTATGCCATAATTAAATTGTGGTTGAAGCAGCATTGACGTTCATGGTTAGGTTTGAGCACATGTTTGAGTTTTGTTTACTTCAACAGAGCAGGGTTGATTTTCACAAGGTAGGGATCTGGTCTCTAGAAGAGATTAAATCCTTCCCATATTGGAGGCAGGAAGCGGTAGTTAGATTAAAGAGAACGATTATCCTCTTCAGAAGAAGACAGCTTACTTAAGAGTCTCAAACAAGGGAAGTAGATTGTCTTAAACATCAAAGAAAGGAATATAACTATCTTCCAAGCAATAACTTGATGAATAAATCATCACTCCTCGTAAGAACAGAACCAAAACTAAGGATACAAAGCGGTATCAGGAGTGGCTGATGGCACCGAGACTTTACTTCTGCAGTGAGACCATACAGCTGAAGAAACCATGCACAAAGAAGGTAAAGTACAGGTGTGTTCACATTAAAGACAAAAACAAAGAAAGAAAACATACACAGAGACAAATTTTGCTCTGACTCCTCGAGCAATTTTACATCTGATGAAATTGAAACTGCAGAGTTCTTTAATCAGATTTAATGGAAAACAAGAGGGCTGTTGATAAGAGTATTTGGAGACAGGCTATACAACCAGCATTTGTTCTTAGCAGTTTCTCAAATCAGAAACAATTTAAAAAAAAAAAATCAGTACTTCAAATACACAGTTTCTTCCTCTAGTCTCTGCCTTTTAAGTCACTCTCCTATGACAGTCCAATCCATCAATTATGAGATCTTATTGACAGTCAACATGTTCAATTTAGTTGTGAACTGAACCACTAACTGTCCAGGAACATACCTGGATATTCCTTCTTTCCTTTCTTCTCTACCCAGTCAATCATTTCTACTGTATTTTGACTTTTAGCCACCAGGATAGAAAATGTCCTACTTAAGTATTTTTCAGTTGTTCTCCCATGCATGCTGCTGGCATCTTGACTACATTTTGTGGAGCTGCTGCTTCAGATAAGTAAAAATTTTCAGGCAATCTATTCCATCAAGACATTAAGTAAGTCTAGACTGATTTTGTACCCTTTAAAAATAATTGTCACAATAGATAACTTCAATCCTCATCTAGCATAACTGTAACAGAGATCTGTTTTGCCTCTGAATTAATGCAGTCATACTTTTGAAGACAGAAGGCACCACCAGGATCATCTAATCGGAACTTCTGCATAGCACAGGACACTTATCACATAATACATCCTAGAAATGGCAGTCCTAGAATTTCTTGTGTAATTTCACTATATGTTTTAGAAAGACTTCTAATTTGGGTTTAAATTTTTCACATATTAAGACATAACTTCTTCAGGTAATTTAAAATATTAAGCTTTTATGCAATATGGTTTAAATTCTGCAAATATTTGTGTCTTTGCCAGTCAGAAATTACTAGTTGGGCACACCCAGGTAATACTGAAATAATTTAACTTTAGGTAGGTAATCAAATAGACTGAGCTTCTCTAAATATGACAACATTTTCTTGAAATTTTACACGTGGAAATGTGCAGGCTCGGAGAACTGTTGCTTGAGATCCCCCTCCAACAACCCTCCCTCTGGAGGTCTCTAGCCCAACCTTCAACTTAGAAGAGGACAACTTATTGCCAACACTAGATGAAGTCAGCTATGGCTTTCTCTAGCTAAGTCTTGAAAACCTCCAAGGACAGAGATTTTATGGCTCCTTTGGGTAACCTGCTGCAGTGTTGCACTAGTCAAAAAGATTTCTAATGCCCTACTTGAACTTGCCAAGCAACAACTTGTGGTTCTTGACCTTCTTTATTCTACCCAGCACTACTAAGAAAAGTTTGGCTCTACAATTTTTGTTACTGTCCTTCAGCAGTTGTAGTCTGCTACCTAACCACCCTCTAGCCTCCTCTTCTTCAGGTTAGGTAAAACTAAGTAATCTCTCTCAGCCTTTTCTGACAGGTCATGTGGTCCAGCACCCTCAGCTCGCAGTAGCTTTTAGCTAAACCTTTCCAGTTTCTCAACATTTCTGTGGAACTCAGGGACCCAACCTGGATTTAGTGTTCCAGCTTTGGCTCAACAGCACCAAGTAGAAGGGTATGACCACTTCCTTCAGTCTGCCAGCCACATTTCTGCAAAACTGTGAGTTTTGCTTTAATATGATGAGACCGAACTGTTGACTCATGTTCAACTTGATGTTTGTTATCACCCCCCAGGTTCTTCGCAGAAGGGCTGCTACCCAGACAGTTGGTATCCAGCCTGTACTGATGCACGGGGTTACCGTGTCCCAGATGCGGAAACTCAATGAAGTTTCTGTTGGTTCAGCTCTCAAGGTTTTCAAGACCCATCTGGACTGAAGCTCCATCCATCAGTGTGCCAGCCACTCTTAATTTACTGTCATCAACAGATGTGCATTTTGCATCTTTGCCCACATTTTTGTCCACACTGTTGATGAAGATATTGAATAATATAATATGGCCCCCAGTATCAATCCCCCGGATACTCAGTTTTTACCTGTTGCCACTTATATGTCAAGCCATTGGCTATTACTCTTCACATCCAGCAGTCCCATGGATTTAAAACCCTTTGCAACAACAAGGAAGGCACAGGAAAGCAAAATGACATGAAATACTAACATGAGGAAGTATGCTTCAAAGTTCTACATGACAAAGAAAAAAGATATCTAGAAATTTGACAAGGATACTTTAACTTTTACAGGCATGCCATAATGTAATATGGAAACTGCAAAAACAGATTAATCCCAAGAGCATTTATGTTAAATTAAATGATTTAGCAATAGCTACTCTCAGCAAATACACTATAAAGCTCTGAAAATGCATACTGTCAAAGGCTAGTCAATAACAGTATGTTCACTATCAAAACATTGCAAGTTTCTTTATAAGAAACAAAAAAATACTAATCAAAGGTTTATTAAAAGCAAGGTGTTGCTGAGGGATTTTTCCAACAGGGACTCCATTTCTCTCTACAAATTGTCTACAGTAGTTGTCTAAACACTGGACTTAATTTTGTTCTTCTATAACAAATGAATACTTACACTTACTTTTTCTCTGTATGAATATGTTTTATGTAGCAAAATTACCTGCCTATCTGTGAAATGAAATTGCTTTCTCCCTTCGATTCTCCTCTCTAAAAGAAGTCTTTCTTAAAGGTGGATTCTAGAGTGATGCTCTAAAACACCACCAAATAACATAGCTTTTATGATAAATAACTGGACTATATTTTCTTCCCAATATACTTTCACAAAAAAACCCCGTATGATGGCATGGAAACTCACGGTTCAAGAGATAACCAAAGCCACGCCATCAGTCCTAGCGGTTTTAGAATAGTCTATAAACAACCAGCAAGTGCAGGAGAAATAAACAGATGGATAGCATAGGTATAATCATCTTTAAGGAAACAGCAAAGCAGAAGACAACAGCAGATCATCTTTCCCCTTCACTTCTCAAGATTATAAACAGTAATTATTTCCTGTTACATCATCCCTGCTTTGGAAAAATTTAATGTTCCCTTATCTCTACATTTCTAAGGTATATTTTTTTTTTTTATAAACTCAAAAGGAATCAATAACACGGGATAAAAAGGGAGAAGAAAGAATGAGCACATTACTCTAAACACAGTGTTACTGCAGGCCAAAAGAGTTTAAAAGGAAACAGCATTCAATGTTTGGTAAGTCACAGAAAGTTTGTGAAAATGCTATAACCTGTAAGTAATGCTTTCTTTTAAGTCTACAGAATACCCACTTGCTCTTTTTCAGTCTTTATTTTTCAACTATTTTTTCTTGAAAACAAGAAATGAGACAAGACATTTTAACTAAGAAACAACTCCAATTTTATACAAGTGAAATTTTCCAAATTCTGTTCTGGGAAGGAGTAGCAAGTCCCTCCAACAGGACTGAAGTCCTCTTTCATAAGTATAAAAGCAAGTTTTCTGGGAATCTTTCCTACATGAAGAAACACTGAAACTCCTAATGACATGCCACCTTGAAGCAATCTCAGCTTGAAACCAGATACAATAAATGACATCAATAACACTGCCCCACTGGTTTATCAAAATAATTAAAAAGATATAGTTTTTACTCCCTCTATAGCAGTACTAGTCACTCTAAGCAGTTAAGAAGCTGAGTAATGTGGCATACAGCAGAGTTAAAATACTTTGCATGCTTTCCTTGGAACATGCTGAAGGATGCAGTAGA